GCACCCTTGCACAAGATTGTAAACTGAACCCAAGGCCTTTTCCTAAAGTTCATGGACAACATTTTCTGATCAAACGGGACGTTTGTAAAACTTTAAACGATCAGTTGCTCAAACAATTACTAAGTTCTCTGGAGTTTACCTTTTCTTATTTTCCTTATTTTCCAGAAAGTCTTCTTCATTCTGATCATCTTCTCTTTCACGCTGGCTACATGCCAAGGAGAGTGCTTTGGGGGCTTTTCTCTACCTATAGATGGTAAATTAACTCCTTATTCCTCTGAACAAATCATTTTACTGCTTCCAAATGTCTAATAACGCCAGGAGAAATGTTGATTAAATGTTGACCCAAATTTCAGTCATAAGTCTCCCGACTGGGCCAGGGAACACCTTGTATTAATGCAGAAGTCATTTAATCATCATTTCAAAGCAAATAAAAAAAAATAAAAAATAAGATGAAATAAAATAAATATAAAATAAGATGAAACAAAATATGAAATAAAATAAAAAATAAAAATAAATAAATAATAAAATAAAAATAAACAAACAAAATGAATAAATAATAAAATACAGAAAAAATAAAATAAAATAAAATGGTATGTAGCAAATGCAGAGAATTTATATACAGGAAGTCCTCAACATACAACCACAATTAAGCCCAAAACTTCTGTCGCTAAGAGAGACAGTTGTTAAGTGAATTTCGCCCCATCTTATGATCTTTCTTGTCACAGTTGTTAAGGGAATCCCTGCAGCTGTAAAGTTAATGACGTGGTGGTTAAATGAATCTTGCTTCCCCATCATCTTTGTTTGTCAGAAGGTCACAAAAGGGAATCACCAGGACACTGCAACCATCATAAATGCGAGTCAGTTGCCAAGCGTCCCAATTTTGATGACGGGACTTTGGGGATGCTGCAACAGTCATGTGTGAAAAACGGTGACAAGTCACTTCATTCAGTGCCGTTGTAACTTTGAACTTTCACTAAACAAACTGTTGTAAGTCGAGGACTGCCTGTTCCTGTCCACTAGTAGATTTCTGAAAGTGGCCCCCAACTCTACAAGAAGGTTTCTCAGTGTGGTTTGACAACTTGAGTGCAGTTGCAAGTTCAACTTGACTTTTTTTCCCTTAGGTAAAGAGGTGCCGATAAGGACATGTGCTGATACATATGATGGGAAAAAGCATCTCATTGTGTCCACCTGGAAAACAGCTGAGTCCTTCAGTTGTGAATGCGCTCAAATAGGATTGCAGTGTTGCAAAGAGTAAGAAAAGGTTCCTTGATATTTTAATTTTCTCACGTGTTCCCCTAAGATAAGCCAGAAGCGTTTTATAAGATAGCACATATTCCTGGATACGTATCCATGAATAAAGGTTCTATGTGGGTCTTCTGCCTTAGAGATGCCCAGAGTACCGCTTGCAGAAGACACTGAGTGGGGCCAACCAAGCAGAATTAAGAGGGTGTATCAGGACATGCCTTGTGGTGATAGAAAAGTGTAATTGCCTCTCTGCCCTTATTGCATTTGTAGAGAGCCAACCAGCAGCCCCATAGATCCCTCCTGGGTAAGGGGGAGGTGGGGGACAATATTAAGGTTTTCTGGGAAGATGAAGTTGCTCAGCTGTCCTTGGAGGTAGACATTGGGAGATGATGGAGACACAACTGAGCCTTATTGTCTGGGAAGTTGAGGTAGATGTTTGTCTTTCTTAAATATTTATTTGATTGATTGATTTATGGACTCACTCACAAAAGGTATAGGCTTCGGATCTTTCCTCAAGGTAACTCTGGGCAGCGTACAATCGTTATCTTTCCAATGCTGAGCAAGCAATATTATGTGGAGACCCAGGATTGTTGGGTGCAGAAGGGAGTAGAGAAACTGAGGCTGGCAAGGGGCAGAATCTCTCCCTGCTTTCCTCTCTGTCTCCTGCCCAATCAGGACTGGGGAACACCT